TCATCGAACCCGACGGTGCGTATCCGGATCTGTACGCCGTGGAAACCATGCGCATCAACCCCGTCGGAGTGAGTTCGGGGTCGGCCAGCTGCGCGTGAACGCGCCTCTCGTAATTGTCGTCCATGCGAGATTGCTTGGCGTTCGCATTTTCCGTCGGCGCCTTCCTCTTCTTCTCTCGGGATCTCGCCGAGGTAGAAGTGCCGGCGAGACCGGGAACTCTAGTTGCCGTTACAGTTTGTTTTATTTTTTTTAACAACACCGACGATTTTGCGGCTCGTCCTTGTCATTAATGACAACCTGCGTTCGGCCGGGCAACCCAAGATGTCTTGGCGCTCGTCGGCTAGCAAACGCATCCGCCTCACCTCTTGGTACGTGGAACCGGAAACGGTTAGAAGATCGTCCAAAAAACGGAACCTGATTCGGTTGTTCCGGCGCCACGCGGAATATCGGAGGACAACGAGGTCGTCGTCGCCGCCTCCGCAGCTGCTGCTGCTGCAGCAGCATCTTCGCGCATGCACACGAATGACAATTTGACAAAAAGAAAGAAACAGAGACGAAAAGTTAAAGTTGTTAACGATTTAATTGTTTCATCCGAAACCTGCACACCTTCTCGCCCATCATCCGCTGCAGCAGACTCGAACATTCCGTCAGACGGGATGTGCTCACCTCGAATATCCGAGGCAGCAGCCGATCTCCGGGAAGTGGTCTCAGCCGATGGAACCTAGGCAGTAGCACGACGGAGTTCTCGAAACAAACGCCGTACACGGTCCTCTTGAGCAGGTACAAAGTACTTTCGTCCGAGTTCGATAGCAAGAAATGCTTCTTCGATTCAGTCTGTTCGGAATAGCAGAGCAGAAGCGTCATCAGGTCGCACACGAACTGCTTGACGTCATCCAGAACCGATTCGTCGATCGCAGCACCCTCGTCCGGTAACCTTTCGGAAGAGACGTGCACCAGAAACGATTCCCTCAGAGCTTGCATCAACTTGGTCTCCCTCTCCAACTTTCTCACGACGATGTCCCGTCCT